CATATATATATATTTGTTGGTATATCTGTCTTTGTGTGTGTGTATGTGTGAGTGCCTGTGCATGTGATTTTGTAGTGCAGTAGAAAATACAGCTGAGAAAAAACCTTGATAAAAATCAAAGCTCAGTGTTTAAACCATGTCCACACAGTTTCTATAGAAAATGGCTTTAGGATATACTAAATCATAGCCCTGACTAAATGGTGTGTGGCCCCAGAGCAGAGTCAGCAGAAGGGATGCGGGTGGTGTAGAAGCCATGCCCGCTTCTAGCTGCCCATGAACCCCCACTTCATATGCTTCTGAATCCTGGGTTCTTTGGATACATTTATCTAGATTGAGATAATTTTCTTATTTTGGGAGCGTATTAGTCCATTTTTGTACTGCTGTGAAGAAATACCCAAGACTGGGTAATTTATAAAGAAAAAGTGATTTAATGAACTCACAGTTTCATATGGCTGGAGAGGCCTCACAATCATTGCAGAAAGCAAAGAAAGAACAAAGGCACATCTTACATGGCAGCAGGCAAGAGAGAAGTGCGTTGTGAAGGAGGGGAAAAGCCCTTTATAAAATCATTGGATCTCATGAGAACTCACTCACTACCACAAGAACAGCATGGAGGTAACTGACCCCATGATTCAATTACCTCCCACTATGTCCCTCCCACGAGACATGGGGATTATGGGAATTACAGTTCAAGATGAGATTTGGTTGGGGACACAGCTAAACCATATTCAGGGACATTGTACATTTCTTGAGTAAATTCAAGTGGGTTGTCTACAATTTATTTTGATTCTTCATTTTACTTAAAGCGAATGCACCCCTTTCCAGGACCATCCTGGTAAACATAGCCAGGTCTTGAGAAGTGCTTGTAAAACTGCATGAGGTTACTATGGGGGTGGGGTGGCTCATGACTCTACTGTGGGTTTATGGAATGCCAAGTGGCAGAAACCTAAGACTTTTCCTCATTTCCTTAAGCCAGTAGAAGCAATTATAACATGATTCATTATGGCAGGAGTTCATATGTGTCCTTTTGTGCATGTGGGTGGGTCATGGGTTATTCAACATTTCAGCAAAATGTTTATAAGGTGCTGGGGGCTGGGCATGATGGAAGTGGTTGGCCTGGACGAAGGTGAGTATTTTATCACTGGCATGATTTAGAATTGTTGGTGCATAGTGATAATAAAAAGCAGACAAGTTGGTTTTACTATTGTTTTAAAATTCTCTATGGACCATGCACTCTCTTACCCCATTCCCTCAAGGCAGGCTTTCTCCACCATCCCCTCTACTTGGTAACATCCCTGCAAAACATTCAGCTAGAGCTAGCATTAGCAATGAGGAAAATTCACTGTCTTACAAAAAGAAGTCTGGAGTCAGGTGGTTTCAGGGTTGTTTTGGCAGCTTAAGGATTTCAAACAAGAGCAGGGATTTTTCTTTCATTTCTCTCTCATCATCCTGGCTAAGTCATCAGCTTGTCTCTCATAACCCAAGATGGCATCAGGTGGAGACAAGACAATGTCTGCTCCAAAAGGGGGTGTTTCTTCTCAATGTCTCTTTTAAATAGGGAGGACGGTTTTCCACAAAGCCACTCCACAGTTCAGGACTGGGTCACATAGCCATGAAATAGAGTCGGCAACCTACTATAGCCCATGGGCCAAATCTGGCTAGCCACCTGTTTTTGTTCAGCTCACAAACTGAGAATGGTTTTTACAGTTTTAAAGGATAAGAAAAAATCAAAAGAAAAGAAATATTTCATAACACATGTAAAATCCTAGTTTAATTGTCCATCAATAAAGTGTTATTGTAAAACAGCCACACCTAATTGTTTATGTATTGATCAAGGCTGCTTTTGAGCAACAGAGGCAGAGATCCCTGTGCACTGTCCAGGGAGCAGCCTGAGCAAAGCACCAAGCTGAGAAAGTGCATGGGAGAGCAAAGTGTCTGAAGCAGTTGGAAAAGACACTGAGGAGATTGGGTTAAGGTAAGACTTTGGAAGGCCTTGAATGCTGAGCTAAAAAGGAAAACTTCATCTTGTTGAAATGAAGGCTTTTGAGGAAGGATGAGCTGTCCTGAAATGTAACTTGATGAGTATGTGGCAGATAGGATAAAAGTTTGGTATGGTATGATTGATTTGTAATAGTAGTTAGCGCTGTGTCTTTGTCTGCATGAGCTGCTACAACAAAATACCTTACATCAAGGAATGTATAGAAATAGAAGTCTCTTCCTCACAGTTCTGGAGGCTGGGAACTTTATGGTCAAGACACCAGCAGTCTGTGGCTGGTGAGGGCCCTCTGCTTCACACATGATGGCTTCTTGCTGCATCCTCACATAGTGGAAGGGGCAATCAGGCTTCCTCAAGCCTCTTCTATAAGTATACAAATCTCACTCTTGAGGGTGGAGTCCTCATGACCTCATCATATCCTAAAGCCCTCACCTCTTAATACTGTCTTGTTGGTTATTAGGTTTTGATATATAATTTTGGGAGTACACAAACATTCAGACCATACACTCTGCCGTATAACCAAAATTATAAAGAGATCTCACCAATCTTGGTATAAAGCTAGGAAAATGCAGTGCAGCTAAATGGACTTGAATGTGTGTTTTGTGCTGGATTCACTGAGATTTTTTTAAATGGAGTTGAACTTCAATATTTAAAAAAATCTGGATTTGTAACCTCTCTCACATGACAAGAATTAGCTGGAGCTGAGTTGGGACTGTTATTTTTAGTTTTCCATAGTCTATCATGAGTTAGTATTCTTTTGACATTGAGGCCAAGTATGAGTTGCTATTTATTGTTACTGTTTAGGGTAAATGCTAGCTGCTATAACAAATAAACCTGACATTCCAGTGGCTCAATATCTAATATATAGAAGTATATCACTTACCTATGTAATAGTCCAACACAACACAAAGGTTCCTGGTAGGTGGATAGTTTTCCTCCATACAATAATTTAGGTGCTAAAGGCATTTTCCATCTCATGGTTCAGCTGTCTGAACCGTGGAGGCTTATGTATGCAGCTGGTGGATAGGGAAGAGAAGAGGGAGAAGGGTTAGTTTTTTATTGCCTTGGCTCAGAAATAACATGCAACAATTTTGCTCATATTCTATTGGCAAGAACTAGTTAAGGGTCCCACTCAGCTTCAAGGCAGCTATAAAAAGTATTCCATGCAGCCACTTTGTAGCAACAACCATTTATAGAAAAGGGAGCATGGCTTTGAGTAGACAGTTGGTCATCTCAGCTACTATCATCTTTTCTCTACTGTTTTTCTAATGGTTTAGGGTTTACTCATGATTTTTCTTTTTCTTGACTGATCTCATTTGCATTACTTAAGAAGTACTTGTAGGCAAATGGCTTCGTAGCTCCAGGTGTGTGGTTAATGCATTGCTTTAGAACAACAATTTAGTGGATATAAAGAGTCCTTCCTGGATGGGGATGCTTTGCTAAATTGATACTGGTATCTGGTCACTATGTCTGTATGCTGACCATTTTGGTCTTTCTACCATCTTCCTTCTGTTTAGATACTGGACTTTATATTTTGTTTTCTTTGTTTGTGTAACAGACTCCTTCAAAACTTTATGGTGTAAAAATACCCAATCATTTTATTAAGATGATGGGTTCTATGGGTCAGGAATTTGGACAAGCACAGCAGGGATGGCTTAACTCTGCTTCTTGGTGACTGGGTACCCAGCTGAAAGGCTTGAATGGCTGGGCGCGGTGGCTCACTCCTGTAATCCCAGCACTTTGTGAGGCCGAGGCAGGCAGATCACAAGGTCGGGAGATGGAGATCATCCTGGCTAACATGGTGAAATACAAAAATACAAAAATTAGCCTGGCGTGGTGGTGGGTGCCTGTAGTCCCAGCTACTTGGGAGTCTGAGGCAGGATAATGGCGTGAACCCAGGAGGTGGAGCTTGCAGTGAGCTGAGATCTGCCATTGCACTCCAGCCTGGGTGACAGAGCAAGACTCCACCTCAAAAAAAAAAAAAAAAAAAAAAAGAGAAGAAAAGAAAAGAAAAAAAGGAAAAAGAAAGGCTTGAACATCTGCAGACCAATTCATATGGCTGGAGAAGGGAATCTTCTCAAGGTTCCTTTACTCATATCTGTGAAGACTGGAGTGTTGGGATTGTCATCTGCAGTGTTCCAAATGGCTGCCCCATGTGGTTTGGGCTTCCTTACAGCATGGCAGCCTCAGGATAGTCAAACTCCTTACATGGTGCCTTAGAACTCCAAGAGCAAGTATTTTAAACAAATGGGGCAGAAGCCCTGTAACCTTTTACGACCTAGCATTGGAAGTCACATGGTGTCACTTTGGTAGAATGCTATTGGTCAAAACCGTTGTCAGCCTGCCTTGATTTAAGCAGAGGGTACCTAGACCCTACCTCTTTATGGGAATAATGCCAAATAATTTGAAGCCATGTTTTAAAAGGTACACAGACTGTCACATTAATTGGCATCTTTGTGCACATAACATAAAACAGGCCATTTAGCGAAAGGAGTACATTTTCATCAAAAGGCTAAATATCTCTAACTTTCTTTGATCATCTCTTAACACCTTAAGGAGCTAAAATGAATAATGACAATTCTAATTGCTTTAAACTGTGAAATACGCTACCCATCCCAGGTACTCTCTCTAGAAGTCTGGATTTCTTCTTTTGAATTTTAAGGCATTAGACTTTGAGGCAATATGGAATACTCTCTGGTCTGGAACCTTCTCTAGCCTGATATGTGACTTCCCTCCCAAAATGTGCTTCAGTTTCAAGTGTGGCTTCAGACCAATCAGGCTATCTCAAACAGAATTTATAATTAGGGGATACATTTGGATCTATATCAGGGAATATCACCTGGGGTCCACAGATAGAATACCGGGTGTCCATGATGTTGGATGGGAACAATTATATATTTATTTTCACTAATCTCTAGTTAAAATACAGCATTTTCTTCAATTACGAATGTAGGCAATAAATTATATTTATTGATTTTATGTATTTTTTCATTAATATTTTCAGTACCTATGACTCCAGGATTTGCCAGCAAAAGAAGTCAACAATATTTTAACTTTAATCTTAGCCAAAAGGCCAAGAAGTGATGCTAGTATTTTCATATACTACTACAGTTGCAGGTATCCTGAAATTCTGTTTATGTTCATTACTACTTTAAAGTTGTGATAGTGATTAGCTATGCTTCCAAATGACATGTGACTACAGTCTTCATGTCTACAGACACACGTCTAACATAGCTGGGTAGTAATCCAGGCAACTCTGCCGCAAGTCATGGGCTCAGCCACCAGTCCACGGAGTCTCCAGTCACATGGATTGCTTTGGACTAGTCTCTATCCCCAGTTGTCGATTAACTAAAACGTGAAACGAGGTAAGTTATTTTCATTGTTTGATAATGTTTTGCAAAACTAAACAGGACAAATGAGAATTTATAGCCCTTGCTAAGGTGGTGCAGTCTGTTCTTTCTGGAATGCCCAGAAGTTGCTCAGGTTTAGGATTCAGGTGCAACCGAGAGAGGAGGCCCCGTGAGTCAGGGCACAGAAACTTGATCCAGTGGTAAGCCCTGGTAACATTTTTCATTTGGAAGTTTTTTGGAAGTTTCAGTGTTCTGCCCTAATAGATGGGGCCATGTAATGAAAAGACAAGCTTTACAAAATTAGTATTTTGGGAGATAGGTGATACAGGCACATTGCACAAAATTGAAAAATTCAAAAGGAATTCAGTGAAAATATTTACATTACTACTGTCCTTCAGCCACCCAATTTCCTTCCCCAGAGACAACAACTGCTACCAGTTTTTTGGGTATAATTATCGATCAAATGAATATGTATGCAATCACCATCCACCATAAAGACATGCCAAGCTCCTACTATAACAAGAGTCCCTTATTTGGGGGGTATCATGAATATAATGCATGACATTATAAAATTCAAATTGTATGGACAGGAATCAGTTACAGAACAAAATCTTTCTTGATCCTTCTCCTTTTAAAAAACTTTTTTTGGATCTTTTATTTTTTGGTGCTTCTTGTGCCTAGCTCTATACATTCAATAAAGTGCTTATATCTCTATTTCTGGACTTATCAACTTCAGATAGGACCCTCCAGTATGATATGTTTTAGCTAAAGCAACCTAAATTAACTAATGTAAGTGAACTCCTCTCTTTCCATTTTTCAGTTAGTTATTCTTTTTAATTCCTCTTTTGGTTGTCTTTACAACTTTAAAAACTGTTTCTTTTATAGTGTCAACATCAATTAACATTTGTTTTCTGCTCTATGAATATGATTATTTATTCCATGTATTGTCTATATGTTCATTCTAAATATTTACAATAATTCAAAACTTCTATCTTGTAAGTTTTTATGAAATATTGTAACTTAATACAAATAGTTGTTTTTCCAAGATGATTATTGTGATTGGACCTTTAGAGAAGGAAATGCAATCAAAACTGCTGCCATGCAAAGCAGTGTTAATAGTAACACCAATTCTTATGGGATACTACCAATCCCCCTGTAAAGATGAGGATGTAGAGATCTGAGGGGTTCAGAACCTTGTCCCAAGGTCTCACCATATTTAGTAGAGCAAAGTAGACATGGCTTAAAACCAGGCAGTCTAATTCTAGTCCATGATATTAACTATTGCAGTGTTCTGCCTCTTTAAGCAACAATGTCAAATGGATTCTCTTGCCTTTAACTTCGTCAAATTCCTGTCACCTGAAATTCTTCGTAGTGAAGAATATATGAAAATAGTTGAAATAAGGTGTAAAAATAACCCCTTTGCCCTTCCCGTTACCATTGTCCACCCCCAAAAAAACCAACGTTGAGAGTCTGGTGGGTTGTCTTTCCAGTACTTTCTCTATGCAATTTAACGAGCTCACATACTTTACCAATTGCTTGCTTTTTGATTTGGATATCTTCCCATATGAGCATATAAAAATCTACTACATCCTGTTGAGACAGCACTTTAAAACTCCTTTATATGGATGTGCCCTATTGATGGATGTTTGGATTGCTTCCAGTTTTCACTATTACACACAAAGCAGCCAAGAACATCTTAGTTCGTGCTCTTTGGGCACATGTGTTTTTCTCTAGGATATGTTGGTAGCAATGAAATTGCTGAGAGTATAGGCACAGTTAAAATCATGATAACTCTTGCAAAATTGCTTCCCCTCTACACACAGAAGGCTTTAAAATGTAAACTTCTTCTATGTTGAATGAGAATGTTTGTTTCTTTATAGCACCTTCAACATTTGAAATCATCAATATTTTTACTTTTTGTCAGGCTGATGGGCAAAAAATTGATAAACTGATTGTTCATGTGTGATTCTTTTATTACTAATAAGGTTCATCATATTTTTATTGACATTTCGCCATCTATTTGTTAACATTTGTAATTCCCCTGCAAATTTGCAAATTGCCTGTTCATAGCCTTAGCTCATTTAACAATTGAGATATGGGCCTCTTATAGATATGTAGGAGATCTGTATAGTTTAGATAATCCTTTATTTAGTGCATTGTATATATTTTCCTCCAATGGCGTGCTTGTTTTTCAATTTTATTTGTGGTTTCCTTTGTCATACAGAATTTTAAATTTCTATGTAGCCAAATCTGTTAATCTGCCATTGGATATTTCAATTAGTATCTCAAAGCCAAGGTGTTTAAAACTGCCTTTCCCATAGTGCCCCCAAATACCTTCTCCTCTTGATCATTGGAAACTTGAGTTCTTTTTTTTTTTTTTTTTTTTTATGAGGGCAGTTGGAAAACTTCATGGTCAATGATCTTGTAATTTTTTTAAAAAGTAAAAGAGAAGTGTAAAGATATCTTTTAAAATGCAGTTATCATGCTCTTCCATGTTGCAACAGAAAACAATAGGTTGATAAGGTGGTGACTGCAAGTTCCTGCACTGAAACATTATTACAAATTACTCAGTGTGTTGCCTGAGGATAGGTCCTCCACCCTGATGTTGTCAAACTTTATTTGGTTCTCTTTAGCTCACTAATCTCCAAACCAGACCACTTTTCAGCCCACAGAGACCTGCCTTTTTATTGTGAGCACAATAAGGGTCGAAAGCATGTGGAAGGAATGGTTCAATGTTTTGCATGAACCCCAGGGCAGGTGTTCCTTCATGGTGGTAAAAATGGTTCCTGAATTCTACCCATGTTGGAGTGAAAGTTGATAGCAAACCTAGGAGACACGATCAGTTTAAAAAATAGGGCTTCTTTCCTTCCTTCATGGGCTCCTCTCCATGCCTCATGCTCCTCCTGACCCTCCCATCTGCCCTGGCAAGGAAGAGAGCACACTGCTTTCTGTTCATTCTTTGCCCTCTTTCTTGGCTTCCATAGCTATGCCTTGGGGACCTCACAGTAACTTCCCAGTGCAGAGCACTTGACTGCACGGAACCTGGATTGACTCAAACCTGTGAATTTCCCTTCCTGAAACATAGGATGCCATGGAGTCCCCCAACTGGCTTCATAAATTTGGTGTCACATTGTAAATCAAGCAGCTGCAGAGTGGCTGGGACATCTGCTTGGCTCTGTTATTCTCTTAACTCCAAAAGGAAACGAACTCAAAAAGGTCAGTAAAATGTGCACATTGCCAGCAAGTGCCTGTATTATTCTTCCCAGGCATGGATAAAAAATATCAGAATCTTTTGCTTGTTAAAAGTAAAATTTTGTGTACACACACACACACACACACACACACACACAGACACACGAATATCATAGCTTCATGGAACTCTGCCTAAAGGATAAGGCAATATCCTTTGTTTGCTTTTGTAGAAAAGCAAATAAATAAGTGGTATCCTGGAGTTTACCTAGCTATCTATTCATTTTTACCAATTTAAAGATGCTGGAAACAGTGACAGAAAATAGCTAAAGAGGATGAAGAGGATGCAAGACAGGAACTGCTCTCCATAACCATTAGGTTGGACATGAGAGGCTGCTTTCTTTAACAGAATTTTTCCGATTTTCCTTTCACATAGAGAGTGTTAGACTAGGCTGTGCTGTGCTTACAAACATCCTTTCCCTATTCCCCACCCACAGCTGCATTTTACTAACTTTACATCACACGGGTTCGTTTCTGGCTCTCGCAGGCCTGACTGGGGACAGATAATCCTCCCGGGAATTGAACTGCATGCTGGGAGGAGGGGAACTCAGTACCAGAGGGTTGCACACCGCTTTTAAGGGCAGTTCTGTAAGTGATGGATGTTACTTCTGCTTCGTTCCTTTTCACCAGAACTGGTCACATGTCCCTACCATGGGGGTTTGGAAATATGGAAGAGCCCATTTGATAAGTAGTAAAGGTCTCTGACACCCAACCTGTATCTGAGGCAGACATAAAAAAGATATAATTCCTCATTTTCACTACTTAATTTTTGACTTAGCAACGGCCCCTTCACACTTCCTTCTTTCTTTTCACTTCTACTACCAATAGCCATACAAATATGCTAAAATCTAATTTTAAATAAAAGGTAAAAAACCAATATGACTTAGAAGGTGTGTATACAGAAGAATATCTATGGACTGTATATAACTCTATATAAATAAAATTGTTCTATCCCAAAACATAGAGTTCTTAATTAAAAGTTCCCAACCAAGTTAATTCCCAGCCCCTAAACAGTTTCTAGAGTAGAATACGTGTTCAGCAGCACGAAACACCTTCACTATAAACCCTCCTGACCAACACTAATTAAATATACAGATTCCTGGTCTCTGTCCTAAATCCACTTACACCAGAATTTCCTGGGGTAGGGCCCGTTTTGAAAGAGCACCACAGATAATTCTAATAAACACTGAAATTTGAGAAAGGCTAACTTTTATTAATTTTCCCAGGAGCATTTACATATTTCAAAGGACAGTTGAAAGAAGGAAATGTTTCATATGAAGGAGTGATTTACTAAAAGCTGAGATTCAAGCACCAGTGTGGTAGTAGTCTTCAAGTGAGGGCCTTTCTGTATTGGGCCATACTCAGCATGTTTGCTTATGTAGCTATTCAGCTACATAAAGATGACATGTACAATATTTTGGGGGCATCCTATAGTATTCTATTGTTGCATTTGCTGGCTCATCCTCCTGGAAGATAGTTTCTTATTAATGGCTTTTCCATTTTGGCTGTGGAGTCATCTTCAGTGGTTTTTGTTTTGTTTTGTTTCCTATGGGATTCTCAGATCCCTAGAATATGAAAGTATCCCTACAGAGTAGTTTTTGCTTAGTTTTACCAGGAGTTCTGTGGATTTCACTTGCTCAGGACAACTTGCCTGAGGTTGACTTCATGACACATGCAGAGAATTCGTGACACATGCAGACAATTTTTCAGTCCTGTGCATCCAAGGCCAAGGGCAGATATATTTCCTTGCTGCTTGGTAGGACATCTGTAATGTTTGTTTCCAGTCTCTTCTTCTTGAAGAAAATAGTCCCTCCAGTCTTCTCAGGGCAGATATCTTCTCCCTCAGGGGCATCAGAATTTCTAGATCTGATCTGATCTCCCCAACACCTGTCCTTTGGAAGCCGTAGCATCATCGCTAAGATATAACTCTGTAACTTTTAATTTCTCCTTTTCCTTCCTGGTACCTGAAAATATTCATGTCTTTATTTTGAATTCAGCTTAGAATGTTGGCTCTATTTGATCCACTATGTGTTTGGAGCCAGGCCCGGGAAAAAGCTTATACTTCATGACTCCAGTCTGCCATTTCTCCTGAAGTTTTATAAGGTTTTTTAGGAGGCGTGTTACTTTACACTTAGTTATATTCATTTGTTTTGTGCTGCCACGGCTGTTTTGTTTGGTGAATTTCCTCTGCTCTTGAACAATATTTGATGTTAAAAAGGTTCCATTTCAAGCAGAAAACAGGCCATTAGTCACGCTCTCCCACGGAACTGAGTTTATTTTCCTCACATAGTTCTCATCACACTATACTGTGGTCAGTTCCAGACAGCTTTGTCTTCTGCACCGTAGGCTTCTGGGCCCAGTGATCAGATCTCATTAATCTTTTTATCTCCAGTACCGGCACAGGGCCTAGCACATAGCATTGGACAGAAGATATTTGTGCTATTGGTTATTAAATAGAAATCCTTGCCGATGATGATGATGATGGCGATGAGCGCTACCACAGCAGGAAGGGCCTCGCAGAATTCTGGTCCTGGTATGGATGGCTAGAACGTCCTTCTCCGTTTATTGGATTTTTAAGTGCTGTTAATGGCTATTAACTAGTCTGTGTAGATTAACACCTGCTCCCTGCCTGGATGCATACACAGCCATTAGTTGCAGAGAATAGCCTCCCTGAGGGATCAAAAATACATAAAAATTCGGGAAAGGGTTTGTATCCTTTTTCTCAGTGATGGCCTCGGGTCCCCAGGTACATGTTCCGCGACCATCTGCTACAAGCTCTGCCTGCCCCTCCACCCACTCAGCCTCCTTTCCTCCCTCTCTTCCTCCTATCCTTCCACTCTTACTCTCTTTTTTCTTTCTTTTACAGCTATAGGTGAGGTGCTTTGCTGAGCAAAATGATAATAATTTATAATAAATATTCATTGAGTTAATTCTCTAATTATCCTTAAAAGGACAAAAATACAGTCTAGCTCATTTTTTCATACAAAGGCATCCTCTAATGTATAAGTGAATTATAACCGTTAGCATTTACTAACCACATAATCATCTACTGAGTACTTGTTGCTAAGCATTTCACACCTATGGAATCATTTCTCCTTGTACATGACCTGTGCGATGGAGGATATTACACATATGTTGAATCTTATTGGAGGCAGGGAGTAGGCAGAGAATAATGCATTCCAGAGCTGAGGTCCGAACACAGCCTGTCTGGCTATAAAGGCTGTCCTCCTAAACATTGTACATGCTCCACACAGTACCCTTCAGCTGAACACTCCCTGTGGAGGGTCCACCAGGCCCACCCACACAGTTGGAATTCTTGTTTTTGATTCAAGAGTGATATAGAGAGCTAGAGAGTGCTGGGCTCCTCTTTCCTTTCCAGACTGGCAGACTCAGAAAGATGAGGAACCAGAGACATTAGATTTTCTATGGCAAGTCTGAGGCTGACAGCTGGGGCCAGTATCAAGGAATTGTGGTCTAAATATCTTGTACTCCTCTTCTGGTTTCCAGATGATGAGGGTAATATTCCAAGGATGTCATGATAGCAATATTAAAATTATTATTGTTAATATTAGAAAGATAAGGCAATAGCCTCAAGAAGAGAATACCCAAACTAAGTTTCTCTAATAATCCAAAGTCTGTTTTGAGATGCAAGCAAGTGTATTTTACAGTTTAAAAAGAGAGATAGAGAAAGGAAGAAAGAAAATGCTAGCCTTAACACAGGCTCTAAAGGCTGCCAGCCTCTGTGTGGGTGATGTCCAGCACCATAAGAGAGGACGTTTGGCTAAGGCAGGACTCTCAATAAGAGAGGATGGTTACCTATTCTGCTCTGGGGACAAGGATCTAGAATATCATTATGTGTGTGTATTTCTGTGTAGGGTCCATTGAACCAGATATCTATTCATTAGTCTCTGGCAACTCTGTGTTAATAAAGAAGATTAAGCGGAGGACACGGGGGAGCCTCCAGAAAATTTCTTTGGGAGGAAGCTCACATGCATTCTTTGTCTCTTCTGGCTTAGCTCCTTCCAGTTGGCTGAGCTTTAAAGGATGGTTGGAGATCCAGCAGCCATCTTGGACCATGAGGTGAATCACGATGAAGCAAAATGACAGAAAGAGCCAAGATCCTTGTCCTGTGGAAAGCAATACAGGTCCTGCACTGCTTTTGTTACACAAGTAGAAAAGTACTTTTAGTTTATTTATTTATTTTTGAAACAGAGTCTCACAGAGACTTGCTCTGTCTGGCCCAGGCTGGAGTGCAGTGGTGCGATCTCAGTTCACTGCAACCTCTGCCTTCCAGGTTCAAGCGATTCTCGTGCCTCAGCTTCCCAAGTAGCTGGGATTACAGGCACATGCCACCATGTCCGGCTAATGTTTGTATTTTTAGTAGAGACAGGTTTTTGCCATGTTGGCCAGGCTGGTCTCAAACTTGACCTCAAGTGATCCAACTGCCTCAGCCTCCCAAAGTGCTGGGATTATAGACATGAACCATCGTGCTGTCCCTTTTAGCTAATTTAAACACCGGCTAATTTAGATTTTATACCATTTGCAGCTAAGCCTAATTGTAGCTGATCCATCCTATACTAAGTGACTCCCAATGGACACTACACGGCATAAGTTGGAAAGAATCAAAGCCTACTTAACAATTGAATTGTTTTGTGTGTAGCACAAAACAGACCAGAGAAATCCTGTTTGAACAATGGTGGGGATATTCACACTGCTTGAACATTGTTCCCAAGCTGTGATAGAGGAAGAGGGGAACTTCCTCTAACTTTTTCTGTGTTGCTTTCACTTCTCACCAACTTCCTTTTGCCAGGTGCCTTTGCTGTTTCGATTAGAGAATGCTAGGTTGCTGATTGCTCCATCTCATGTTAGGTAAAGTGGGAATTTGGTGAGGCCCATTCCTTGCATTAGCACAGGATGCTAAAAGGGTCTCCGTGATGCTGAAAAGCCAGGCTCCATTTCTTTTTCTCCAGAGAGAGAGGCTATGTGGATGAAGATGATGAGGATAGTGGGGGCAAGATGGATGCTCTGGGACAGAAGTGCACTCTGCTTTTGGAAAACAAACAGACCTCTCCTGTTGACAAGCCAGTTCTGCTAAGTGAACCCTGGATAGAAACTAAGGGAACATTTAAGAGTGAGTGGAATTTTAAGAATTGCACAATGCAGTGAGATGGCAGTCACACTGAAGGCTTTGCAATTATTCTTGCTGATAGTAAAGGATCTTATCATGATCCCGCTGGGCCAGGATGAAGCCACTTCCTCCACATGGATGTGATGGTATCTCGTGACTTGGCTCCCAAACAACTCCTGCTTAGAAGCTGATACTGCACTTGGAAAAATATTTCTAACGTTTGAATAATGGCAATACACTGTGAGTCTTGAAATGGTTTCCCAGCTTGAGCAAGGACAAGGACTTTATTGAAGGATTGTGCTTGAGAAGAAATGATTGGCAATTATCTGCCTCATTATGCCTTTTGGGGCAGTATGAACAAACAGGGCATAAAAGTAATACATGTCTTTAGCTTTTGGATATATGGGGAACATTACATACATTAATAGCAATGGTAGAACTGACCAGACACTGGATACGTTCTAAGCACTTTACCTATGTTAGCACAGCTGATCCAAAAGTCCCACGAGGCAAATGCCATCACTGTCCTCATTCCGATTTTCAGATGAGGAAACAAAGACATGGTTATTAACTTGTCCACAGTTACAGGGTTAGGTTACATACAGTTAGTATAAGATAGAGATGGAATTTGAACCAGAGAGTGGGTTCCAGAGTGCAAGCTCTTAACCAGTACACCAGACCATCTGTTGACATTGATTGAACACACACACACACACACACACATACACACACACACACACACACAGATATAGTTTGGCTGTGTCCCCACCCAAATCTCATCTTGAATTGTAGCTCCCATAATTCCCATGTGTTGTGGGAGGGACTTGGTGGGAGATAATTGAGTCATGGGGGCAGTTTCTTCCATACTATTCTCATGGTAGTGAATAAGTCTCACAAAATCTGATGGTTTTATAAGGGGAAACTCCTTCTGCTTGTTTCTCATTGTGTCTCTTGCCTGCTGCTAATGTAAGGCATGCCTTTCACCTTCTGCCATGATTGTGAAGCCTCCCCAGCCACATGGAATTGTAAGTCCATTAAACCTCTTTTCTTTATACATTACCCAGTCTTGGGTATGTTTTTATCAATCAGCAGCATGAAAATGAACTAATACGCGCACACACACACACACACACATATACACACACGATATCGAGGAAATGTAAAAGTGTCAAGTTATCCATCCTCAGATACCGGACAGCTCTTTCTTTTTAATAGTTAATGACAGCAACTTGTGCATACCTTTTGAATAGTCAAGGTTATTAAGAATTATCCTCATTCTCTAAAATTAGAGTTGACACCATCTGTGTGACTTTGGACAAGTAATGTAACATTTCCAAGCCTTGGTTTTCTTATTTGTAAAATTGCAATAGTAATGATTTTCCTACAGGGTTGTTAGGGACATTAAGCAAGAGAGAGGATGTAAAACGCTTGTCATACGCTTTCAGTACGGCAGGCATAAGTCATGTCCTGGAGTCAGGAGTGGAGGCAATATCGCCTGAAGAGGAGAAAGTTAAGAGTGGGGAGAGTGTTTCCCTTGATGCAAAATCTGGATGCCTACCTTGATGGAGGCAGATGTAAGTGGATACCAGAAACAAAAACTGTCCACTTCAGTGGCTGGCCCATGTGAGAAACTCGGTAAATGCTGGTTTCAGACCTGTTGTGGCATTCAAACTCATGGAATGCCACTCTGAAACATTTTTCTTTGAATTGTGCAAGCTAGAATGGCATCCAGGAACTTTAACAGGTTGATAGATGTCATCATTAGAATTGCAAGAAAGTACATTACATCCTTACCTTGCTTTTTATTCAGCGTTTCCTTCCACTCCCACATTGTATTCCCCCAGTGATCTTAAAAGCCTTCCCCATCCTTGCTTCTAATATAAAGACCAGAGATCAAGTGGTAGATAATGTGTCGACCGTATCTTATCAGGCAGTCTTCCAGCAAACTCTCACTAAAGCCCCGGCTTTAGAGAACATAATCCAATGTAGAATTTGGAGGAAAATTATTATTGCAAGGAGAAATAGAATCAGGAAGCCAAACTTTCCCCCTTTAATATAACTAGTCAAGTTAATTACTCGTTGTTATTCATTTATTTATTCACTCAACAAATATCTATTTAGGTACCTGCAACATATCTGGTTCTAGGTGGGTACTGGAACTACAAGGGATGGGAGCTCCTTTTTTTAAAAAAATTATTTGTCTCATTTTTCTTACCCCTTCCATCACAGAATAAAACCTGATGTCTGAGCTGAATCCCAGTCGTAAAGAAACTTTTCCACCATTCCTGTCTGTGTTTTTCTAAGTGTGCTCTTGAAGTTCCACATTTCCCAGGGTAAGTGGTAGGGTCTTCCAAGGAGTTAGAAAGGAATGGGTAGGCAGGTGGCCATGCCTCTTTTATCTCTTCTATATTTTGGGGTTTCTCATAAGGATACTTTCAAAGAAAGGGACACACACACACAGAGGTGTTAGAATCAGACAATCCGGTCTAAATTCCAGCTCTGCCAGTGACACTCTAAGTATGTGACTTTGGGTAAGTTACTAGATCTCTATAGGACTATTTTCTTATGGGTTAAAATGAAGAGGATAACAAGTGCCTCATAGAAATACTTCATAGAACTTCGTAGAATGTGGTGAGGATCCAATGAGATAACCTATGTGATAAGTATTTGTCACAGTGCCTGGCATGTAGTAGGAACTTACTGAAAGTTTATTTTCATCCTCATTTCCCTTTCTCCGTCTTCTTCCCATTCTTCCTGCCTTCCCCTCTCCCTGTCTTCTAACGTCACCTTAGGGGTAGCTGGTACAGGTCTAGATGTTCACAGAGATTGATCTAAGTTGTAGCAATTGTTGTCCCTTCTACATGGACCCGCCTCCTTTCCTTGAGTCTCTTGTGGAAGTGACTGCCTGTGAGAGACGCCAGCTGGTGGAGGGATTGGGACCTCCGAGACAGGCCTCCACTTTTCTCAGCAGTAAAAACTGGGATGACCTTGGCTGCCCCACTTTGGGAACAGCACTCCTGGGAACATCATGATACTGGCAGGAACAACGAACCCGAGGGTGGGGGGCAGAAGAAATGCTTCTCTTTTTAATTACCCGCAGAACAAACTCATTGTGAATACTCTCCTATATGCAAACGTGGAGAACTGGTACCTACTGTAGTCAGAAATTTTGAGTGCCAAGTTACAGACACACAACTCAAGTTGGTTTAAGCATAGAGAGGGAATAACTGGTTAAGGAGCCAAAAATCCACGTGGCTTCACAATGGCTGTTTTCAGTCACTAAAACCATGTCTTCAGAATCTGTCTCTCAATATCAGTTCTTCTTTCTTAGGCAGGTCCTCCTCTTGTTGCAGCAAGATAGTCACTAACGATGCCAGGAGTTTTTTTCTACCATCTTTGCAACCACAGCTAAAAGAGAGCATCCCTTTTCTGCTGGTTCCTGCAAGAATTCCCAGACTGAGTCATCTGTCCATCCTGACCCAATCCCTGTGGGGAGCAGGACACACTTGTTCTGATTGGCCAGGCTTCCCTGCTGGAAGGAGAGATTAATCAAATATAGGGTAAATTTAGGCAGTGTTACCAGAAGAAGGGATATTAAGGGCACACAAAACAACAGGTGTTTCCTCCAGGCTCAGAACTTTCATGCATTTTCTTATAAAATATCTAAATCTTACAAAGAAAGGACATGTTTCTAGATATCCTTGTGCCTACAATGTAGGCATAAGAATGTTTCAGGCCCATGAAAAATCTAATTATTAGCCTATTTGCCCTATCAAACTACACAGTGATAAATAATGAAATTAATATCAGTTTTTGCTTCACCTATGCAATTAGTAAGTTCTCCGGATAGATCTTTGTTTCCAACTCATAAATAGCTTAACTTGGCAAGCATCAAAAAACATTAGGAAGCCATGAGTGATTGTTCGTTTTTGTTTATTTTTAATTTTTTTGTTGCTTTTAATTTCATCACAAGAGAGAGTTAGTTTTATGTGTCAATTTAGATAGACTATAGCACAAAGTTGTTCAGTCAAACGGGAATCTAGGTCTCCCTGTGAAGGCATTATGTAGTGGTTAGCATCTACAATCAGTGAACTTAAGTAAGAGATTGTGTTTGAGTGTGGATGGGCCTCATCCATAAGTTGAATAGCTTCAGGGAAAATAAAAACATGGTTTCTCTGAGGGAGAAGAAATTCCACCTTTGGACCACAGAGTCAGTTCCTGCCCAAGAGTTTCCAGCCTGCCAAGCTGCCCTGCAGATGCATGAATTGCACAAACTCACCCTCCTTCCTCCAAATATACAGTAATGTGGCACATACTGAGGTTTCAGTTGACATCTATGACGGTGGTCCAATAAGATTAGAATACTGTATTTTTACCATACCTTTCTATGTTTAGATATGTTTGGTTACACAAATACCATTGTGTTATAATTGCCTACTGTATACAGTAGAGTAACATGCTGGGAGAAACAGGGTATACCGTATAGCCTAGGTGTGTAGTAGGCTATACCATCTAGGTTTGTGTAAGTACACTCAGTGATGTTTGCATAGAGACAAAACTGCCTAATGATGCATTTCTCAGAATGTATCCCCGCTGTTGTTAAGCGACACATGACTGTATACACACACACACGTATGTGTATACATATATGTATGTGTTTGTATGTATAGGTATAAACATATCTCCTACTGGTTCTGTTTCTCTGTTAAAACCCTGACTGATAGACCATAGAATGTTAAAATGTGGCCTGTAGTTGAAAAATGACATTGGTCATGCTGTCAGTGAGATTTAAGTCAAAGTTGAGGCACAAACCCATTCTCCTTTAGTATGCAAGTTGTTTAGTATACACGCACCTATAGCCGCTGAAAAACACCTTTTCCAACAATGGTACCACTTTTTATGGACCTCTGGAAACCAGTGTCACTGCAATACTTGAAACAAATACTGGATAATACTTGAAATATAGCACCTCTCTACTGAGGAAGTTAAACTACTCGGCAGGAATTACCTCATGGTCTACATGTGATGCTAATGAGATAGGTGGCATATATGATCAGCCCCATTTTATAGACAGAAATTGGGACACAGTGGATGTGACTTGGCCCAAAGCTGTGTTGAAACTCACTAACAAACTAGGAATAGAAAAAGGAGTTTTGCAGGATGCAAGCCTGCAAGCTTTTTCAAGGTGTATTCTCTTTATTCCTCCTATGAGAATCACTTGGAGTTATTAAAATGCAGATTCCTGAGCTCTGTCCTAGATGCACTGAATCAGAATTCTGGCATGGAGACCAAAGAGTCTGCCACGTTGGTGAGCTTCTTGGGTGGGTCTTGATATGGTAAGCTCTGAGAACCACCTTGTTAGGTGTAGCTTTTCACCTTGTCTATATCTCAACTCTTTGACTTCATAAATACATAAATTGAAAAATTTAGGAAGTAAATAACTGGATTTTCTGGGTCAATTAGGAAAGAAAAAATTAAAAGAAAAAAATGCTGGTTTATTTTTTTAAAAAGCATACTTTTGATGCTTCCCACTATTTCCAAAGAGCTGTTTAAAGAAAATGAGGCTGTCTGTAAGTCACTGATGGGTATAGTCTATCCAATTCCTGGTCTCCATTTATTGGCATTTGTGCACTGTTTGCTTTCTTAGCCCTTCAACCTTGCCTGAGAGACCTCTCCTGCTGCCTCCTAGGGGCTCTATGGGCCCTTTAACCAAACAAATGCAGACAACATTGGCAAGCCAAGAACATTTTCGTTACAGTAGCCTTGACAGGAATTGTACAGCAGCTCTTAAGCTGTCTCTAAGACCAGGGTATGTCTGACAGGGTGAATTCACCTTGGCAAAAGCATTTGATCCACTGGCCAAACAAATTCAGTTGGCAGTAATGCAAACATTGGCTGAAGCTTATAGCTTTTATGTCCTTACCTTTTTGTCATTGTTTTCTTTTTAAAAAGTTTGATAAAAGGAGGTTCCTGTACAACAGAAGTTCTTAAAGACAACAAAAGCTTACTTTTCTATAATAGAAAAAGAGGTTAGGCTATATTTGAACATCTTATATCCTCCATAGAATCTAGAATATTACTGGATACTCTCTCTGTGTTTATAGGAGACCTTTGTAAAAACAGAGACCACAAGATCTATAAGGGAGGAACCATTGATATGGCCAGTGACTGGGTCGGTCCTACAAGTTAGCAGCCATCACCGCCCACCCCCTGCACTGAACCTTGTCCTGCCCCGTCTTCAGTTGACTTGCACATAGGATCACAAGGTAAATAAGGGAAAGAGGATTAATAGAGCTTATGAACTCCTTGCCACTTTGGGCAAAGCCCTACTTAGCAGAAAATGACTCAAACCCTTAATACCTAAGGTATAAAATTCTAGGTTCAGTCCCCGGAATCCCATTTTATAACCCTTTCCCCAAAATACTCAATAGATAATGCAAATAATTTAAAATGAAACTCAAATAATGCACCTTCACAAACCTTTAGTTATGTAAAGCTAAACAGTGTAAAAATTCTGTTGTGATCATGGAAAACTGGGAATATGAAAGCCCATTGTGTGGAAAGATTTATAGAATTTTTATAGAATGAAACTCTATGGAAATGGTAATTAAATGAAGTATATCTACCTGTGTGGACATAGATAATAATACCTAGTGTGTATTTTTTTTTTATTATACTTTAAGTTCTGGGATAGCTGTGCAGAACGTGCTGGTTCGTTACATAGATATACACGTGCCAGGGTGGTTTGCTGCACCCATCAACCCGTCATCTACATCAGGTATTTCTTCTAATGCTATCCCTCCCCTAGCCCCCAACCAGTGCAGATTGTGAAAGGCTATACAGACGCTCCTTGACTTACCTTCATGTTATGTCCCAATAAACCCATCGTAATTTGAAAATATTGTAAGTCAAAAGTGCATCTGGATGGAAGTCAAGGAGATAAAGAGCATACTGAATGCATATCACTTTCACACTGTTGAAGTAAAAAGTTCAGAAGTTGAACCGTTAATCAGAACTATTTGTAGATGCTGTTTTGCAAAGTAATAACAACCAGACATGTTAGCATATGGATATGCAGAAAACCTAGAGGGCTATGCACCTAGTGGTTAAGAGATTTGGGACCACAGGAGATATTCGCTTTCTACCTTATTAATTTCCCTTATGTTTGAATTTCCTGTAACAAACACAATTCTTTTCTTAATCAGAGCAAATTTTAGGTGTTAAAAAATGAAATGCTGGAAATTTCCTTCTAGGGGATTTTTCCACACGGGCTGGGCTAGTTGAGGTGTCTTATAATGCAGTCGAATGAAGAGGTTGGACAATGCAGTTGTAGTTTGGGTTTTCAGTGAAGCAGGCACTGGGACAGTCAGGAGTGCAGAAGGTTTATGGGCTGTCACACCTGTGAAGGGCGGAAGCAGTGCTCCATGGAGGAAGCCATCACACCTGCTGCAGACCTGACTCTCCCAAGCCCCGGGGAAGCACTGGAGCCCAGAGGCCCAATAGACCCGGGCTGGGCCCTTGTACTGAGCCCTGTATCGCTTTCTCGTTCAGTCATC